TTCATTTACTCCTTTTGGGAGGGGGGTGTGCACATGAAGGGTAGAGGACAACTTTGGGAGCCAACGCTCTCATTTGACTATGTGGGTCCTGGAGAATGAACTCAGGTGATCAGCCTTGGTAAAAAGTACCTTTACCCACTGAACCATCTCACCAGCCTTAGTCAAGTGTGTGTGTGCACATGGCTGTGTACACACGTGCATGCATGTGTGCATACCTCGAGGGGGGTGTGCACATGAAGGGTAGAGGACAACTTTGGGAGCCAACGCTCTCATTTGACTATGTGGGTCCTGGAGAATGAACTCAGGTGATCAGCCTTGGTAAAAAGTACCTTTACCCACTGAACCATCTCACCAGCCTTAGTCAAGTGTGTGTGTGCACATGGCTGTGTACACACGTGCATGCATGTGTGCATACCTCCATGCGTATTGGGAGCTGGAGAGATGGTTCAAGCAGTTAAGAGCACTGGCTACTCTTGCAGAGGATACAGGTTTGGTTCCCAGCACCCAGATGGTGGCTAATAACTGTAACTCCACTTCCAGGGTGATCCAATGCCCTCTTCTGGGCTCCTCAAGCACTGCATGCAGAGGTGCACTTACACTCATGTAGACAAAACACTCATACACATTAAAACATAAAAATAAAGAAATGTACGTTAAAATCCATTGCCATGCAGGCAGACATAGTGATTTCCAGGCCAGGTGGGGCTACAGAGAGACCCTGTATCAAAAAGATGAAAAAAAAATTTATTGCCATGCTTTTACTGGTTGCTTGCCTTATTGAGTTGTAAGACTTCTTTACACATGCAGGATTAAAGTCTTATTATATACATGAATTAAACACATGTTCTTCTAGGTCTGTGACTTGCCTTCTTTTTTCTTTTTTTTTCTTTTTTTTTGTCTCTTTGAGACGGGGTCTCCCTATAGCCCCAGCTGTCCTGGAACTCACTATGTAGACCAGGCTGGCCTTGAACTCACAGAGATCCACCTGCCTCTGCCTCCTGAGTGCTGGGATTAAAGGAGTGCGCCACCAAGCCTGGCCTTTTTATTTATTTTTAAGCATTGTTTTAATTATTTTTAAATGTTGGTCTACAAAGACTATCAGTTTTTACTTTAAACAATTCATTGTAGCTTTATTTTATGTGACATTTTCCTACTGGAACGTAAATCCTTTCATAGCTCTTTAAGACTCATAGCCTTGTGTGTGTATGTATGTGTGTGTGTGTGTCCCCGTGTGTGTATATGTGTGTAGGCATATGTTTGTGTGAATCTTACATTAAAATACTTAATGCTGAAAATATGCTATTTTTTCTATAAATAGGTTCTTACTTTTACTTTTTATGTTTTTGGAGACAGGCCCTGGCTGGCCTAGAACTGGCTATGTAGGTCAGCTGGCCTAAAACTAACAGAGATCTGTCTGCCTCTACCTCCTGAGTACTGAGATTAAAGGTGTGCACCACCACACCTGGCCTAAATTAGTGTGTAATATCTAAAATATTAACTTGTAAAGTACTATAATCCAGAATTCATAAACTAGTATAATAGTTCTTCACTGGTAAAATACATGGTGCTGAAGATCTATGAAAGGGCTTGAAAACTGTGAGCACTCCCCTCTCTTCCTGAGCAGGACATAAGGGGAGCTTTTGGCATCACTAAATGACTTCCTTGTACCTTAACTTCCTTCTCACTTAAACCAGGGAGGATAATGACCTCTTGCCTCAAGGTCACAGAAAGGAATGGCAGCCACACCTACCTCTGTCTGGCAGTAATGATTGTCCTGCTCCTGTTTCTTTGATCCTTTTCCTTCTACCACTTTCTATATCATAGTACTCAGAACTTAGTATATGACTTAATATGTGTCCTCATCTCAACCATCGTGATGGACACAGATTTTAAACCTAACTAATGTTGGCCTCTTCCTGAAGCCCTCCACACCAAGGTTGAACAAGGCATAGTGCACCTAATGAAATGAGATGTTTTGTCAAATGCAGAGTCCAAGGTTCCATCTGTGCTTCCCCATGCCTATCTAGTTGTGGTTTGGGCCTCTGCACTGTCACCAACACCCCAATGAGATCATCAAAGAACTCTGTGATCTGAGAAACCTGCTTCAGAAACCCTGTGGCTGTATTTTTTTCAAACCAGAGTCAAGACCAGATAAAACAGAGCAGACCTAGATCTCCATTCTCAGACTGAGCAACCCAGAAGCCTGAAGCAAGCTTATCATGTCACCCAAGCCCCGTCTCTACTCTTAATGATGGCATGAAAACATCCATTTGGTTCCTCAGCATCCATCTCCCCATTCTCTGGTATCTCCCTGGATTTCCTCTACTCCTTATCCAGTGATTCAAGCAAGGCTAATCCTTCCACCCAAGTCAATGAATGCCAATCCTCTGGGACATTTACAGAAACAAGAGCAAGATGGGGTGGGGGGGGTGCTCTTTCTCTTCCTGTAGGGATGTTCAGATAGTAGAACCTAAGCCTGCAGCTGTCTGGGCTGCCTTAGTGAGAGAGATATCTTACCAGACAATGACAAGGATTGAGAAGAGACGGTGTTCCTGTGACAGACAGGTTTAGGCCCCTGGAATTCCTGGGAACTGAGTTCCTATTGCTCTTGGGTTTAAGTCAGTTTGAGCTGGATCTCCTTGCAAGTGGGAATAACCATCAATACATGGAGTCAACACCCCAACCACTTCTGCTTCTCTTGCCCCATCACAGCTCTGCATGGACCCTCCCTCTCTGGGCTCCAAGCAGTGACTGCACACTGCTGTGCACACAGAGCATCACTTCCTTGAAACATTCTAAGGCTGTTTCCCACCTTGCTTCTTAAGACCAGGTCCAGTCCATTTTTCTTCCACCCTTTGGGAGGGAGGTTCATGTTACAGCTTCAGTGTTTTGTTTTGTTTTTTATTTTCAAGCTTCCTGGTTACTTAAGGCTAACACCTGTTTTACAGTAGCCCCATCCTCCCCAGCACTGCAGTCATCTGGGATGGACCTCATTCCACACACTAGCTTGTAGTCACAGTTCATGTGACACTCACTATACACCAAGCATAATTCTCTATGCTTTACATGTCCAGTAGTTTAGCTCAGACCTTTTATCAGCATGAGGTGGTGAGGTGGTATTATTGCCATTTCACAGATGAGGAGACTGAAGGACAGAAAAGTTTAACTGGCCTAAGGTAATCCAGCTACTAAGTGGGGGTGCAAATGAGGGATGCTAATTGCAGAGTCCAGACTCTTAACACATACTCTGAGCTCCCAGTTCCTCATTCTTTGTATTTACAACTTCCTCTGTGTGGATCCTATCCAGGTGCTAGGAGTCAGGACATACTGCAACTGGGTGAGTAGGCACCTAAGGGTCTCTGGGAGATGTCAATGAAGGAGACTTGGTCATTGGAGATCTGCCCCTCCCCAGGGCAGCGACTTGGTATGGTTGCCCATACAAATTTACCAACTAAATATAGCCAGGAAGCTGAGATGTAGCTGGACTCACAGGCCGGCAGATGAAAAGCAAGTTATAGATTCTGCTCTTCTGCCCAGGGCTCCTCTCTGCCTCAGTGGTCCTATGTGAGAGGGCTGTGGCCTTTAGGGCAGTCATCCTCCCAGTCTAGGGCTGTATTCAGAATATCCCCTTGTCTACGTCTTCACCCACATTCCTCAGCCCTCTAAAAATTTTGCGCAATTGGTTCAAAAGTTCTTGTTTTTGTCTTAAGTCAGTGGGGGCTGTGGGGTAGTCAGGAAACAGTTTCACCACCTGCAACTCATTGGCCCTAGGTGTTGCTTCCCTAGAGCTGCTCGGCTCTAAAGACACAGGCTTTGGCACCTTTCCTCCCAGCACTCTGGCTGTGTCCTGTCTCCACCTCAACCTCCAGCTTCTGGACTGGCCTTCGAGTTACACAATGCCACCAACATGTCTTGGCTTCCGCAGCTCCCAGTCCTTCAGATCTTTCCTGCACATCACCCTGGTATCAACACAAACTCTTCCTGACTTCTCCCTGGGCAGAAAAAAAACTCGCAAATCCGTGTACACTGTCACTGTAAATACAAGGTAGCCAAGGCCCCACAAGGCCCCACAGGTCTAATTAGTGCTCAGAACGACTATCATTAGAACGGTTTGTTGAGTGCTTCCTAGGTGTCAAAGCACTGTCCTCACCACTTCTCAAGCACTTAATCCTCAGGACATAAACACCATCACCATCCCCACCATGCCCTGCTCGTCCAGAGCAGGAAGGAGGGGCGACAGAAGAGAAATGTCAGAGAAATAGCCAGAAAAGAGGGGAGGGCGAGGTCTGAGCCACTTCCTAGTCATCGTTACTCAGCACTTTGTGAGGCATAGGTGGCATGGCAGCCCTTTTCGAGGAATCCAGCTCTGCCTAGACAGTCCCGGTGCTGTCCCCAGCTCCGGTCTGGGAACACCGGCCTAAGGCCTGGTTGGGGGATTGCCAAGTGATCCCGGAGGGACTCTGTGGGGGTGGAAGGGACAGCGATGCACTCGCCACGCCGTACGCAGTGAAAGCGTCCGGGCGCAGGGCAAAGCTTACAGTTTCCATCTGGATGAGGGCGGGGTGACGCCTTCAACTCCAGGGCGCCGTTGCCGGGGCGCTTGTGCTAGCCCCGCCCCCTAGTGGGTGGTGCCTTGCCACGCTTGTCCGCAACGGGGGCGGAGTCATGGGCGGGGCTAACTAGGAGCCCGAGCTAGCTCCGCCCCCTAAAGGCCGCGTTCCACAGCTCGGTGGAGCCGGGGGCGGGGCCAACTCTAGGGCCGGCTCGGAGCCACTTAGAGCGCCTGCGCCGGCTCGGTCCCTGGAAGCCGGGTTCCTGGGTGGGCCGAGCCCGGGGCGGGGAAGGGGGCGGGGTCTGCCGCGGAGCCTTGGCGGGCGCGGGAGGACGAGGGAGCACGTCCCCGCGGCGCGCGCCCGTCCGCCCCGCCCCGCCCTGTCGCTATAAAGGGACCGCGGGAGCTAAGCTCCACTCCAAGCTAGCTCCAGCGTCTTGGATCCGCTTCCATCGCTTTCTGCGGGCGTTTGTTAGATCCCTCCCCGCCACAGCCAAAATGGTGAAGCTGATCGAAAGCAAGGTATGCGTTCCCGGGCCAGGCCCGCTTGCCCTAGCTGCGGAAGGGAGGGTGGTGGGGACGCCGCCCCTCGGCATCCCCCGGGGTAGGGGAGAAGCAGCCCCGGGCCTGGGCGCGCCCGAAGCTAAGAGCACGCCCTGGGGGAGGGGGAAGGGAAAGGGACCCCCTGGAACGCAGGCTCCCGGGAGATGCACGCGCTGGCAGCGCCCGGGTTACCCGGGGCTGCACCTTCTGCACCCTCCCTGCCCGCCAACCCCAATCGAGCGAACATCAAAGGATGGAGGGAGTCCTCCCGTAGTTCCCCATCTGAATCTGGATTTGGGGTTCCAGGGGGCTGCATAGAGGAAGCGCGGGGTCTCCAGCTGCCACTCCCTCCCCCTGTGCCGTGCGGTCCACTCGAATGGGGTGTGCGGAGCCCCCCGGGAGCAGATCTAGGCCGGAGACTCCCCCCCCCGCCCCCCGTCTGCCTCCATCAGTGGCCGGCAGCAAAGATGACTTGTGCCTGGTGGATGCCGGGCTCGGGTCCCCACTGGAGACGCTCTGGAGCGTGCCCCAGGTTGCTGCGAGGTAATGAAGTCCAGGCCGCGCGCGGAGCTCCTCCTCCTGCGGCGCAGGGCGTGTTTCCGGCGCAGGCTTTGGAATGACTCAGTTCCCAGTGGCTGGGCCCAGGGCCCCGCAGCCCTCCTGGTTCGGTTCAGTGATTGACCCACAGTCGCTAGGCTCTGCTGGAACCAGGGTCCTCCCTGGGAGTTGTTGCCTCCAGCTGTACTCTTAAGACCATCGAGTACAAAGTCCCTGGTTCTGCCCTTTGAAAACATGCCCAAGGGAAAAAGTGTTCCCAGCGCCTCCTCCTGCGGCGCGGGGCGTGTTTCCGGCGCAGGCTTTGGAATGACTCAGTTCCCAGTGGCTGGACTCAGTTCCCAGTGGCTGGGCCCAGGGCCCCGCAGCCCTCCTGGTTCGGTTCAGTGATTGACCCACAGTCGCTAGGCTCTGCTGGAACCAGGGTCCTCCCTGGGAGTTGTTGCCTCCAGCTGTACTCTTAAGACCATCGAGTACAAAGTCCCTGGTTCTGCCCTTTGAAAACATGCCCAAGGGAAAAAGTGTTCCCATATTAGAAAGTTACTAAGAACCAAAATATTTCCAGATTTGGAAACCCAGAGCCTGTTACACTGTAATCAATCAAGGGAATAGTTGCTAAATGCGAAGTCTGAAAGTGAGTGGGGAAATTAATGCATGGTAGACCCCAGCCGAAAGCATGCCTCCTGCTGTGTCCCTCCAGCTAACCTAGGGAGGCCGGTGGAAGGCAGACCTTCCCCCTTCAGGCTTGAGCACCCCTTTGACCCTGGTTGGGTAACAAAAGAAAAAATGTTATACAGTGTCCTGCCCTTTTCGCTACTTTTATTAGTGACTTCGCTTCTCCCCCTCAAGTGTTGATGGTCATCTGTTACCTCTCCTTGTTTGTTTTTCCTTACTGGAATCCTCTTTTGCTTATTTGGGAGTTTCGTTGTTTGTTGTTGTTGAGACAGCCTCTAACTCACTATGTAGACACTGGGCTCAATCTCGGAGATCCACCTGCCTCTGCCTCTACCTCACCCTACTACACTAGTATCCTTTCAAATGGTGTGAGCATTTATATCAAAAATAGCAGCCCACTCATATCTTGGAAAGAGATCCTTAATAGTGAGTTTTGGTCCATATCAGCTTTTTGATACCTCTGTGACAAGTTAAGTCTGCCTTGGGATGGGAAAAGAAATGGGAATTCTGTTCTCCAGCATCTGACACCGTTATCAATGTAACCCAACAGTTGAAAGCCTGCAAGGGGCAGAGAGGATCTTTGAGTGGCCTAGATGAATTTCCTCAGAATACACCCACTGCCAATGGGAAGTTGATTTTAGTTCCTGGAGCACCTTGTTGGGCTTATCTCTTTGAGCTGCCCTGCTTAGGAAACCTTTGCCCTTCCAGTAAGAAAGGTGTATGGTGCTGACAGGAAACCGGTTATAAATAAAAGCACTAGCTTGGGCCCCAAAGGCCTTATTACAAGACTCTGATCTAGAGTCATCAATCAAAAGTTAACTAATCTGATTATTTAATAAAGTATTGAATACACTTGATGTTTAGTCTAGTGACTAAAGCTGGTTCCTTTGGCCATACAGAACATCTCTGTTTCTGAGGACTCTGGGTAGTTCAAGACCACTGATAACTTTCCAAATAGGAGTGGAATGATGAACTATGGTGTGTTGAGGAAGAAGTCCACAGTTGGTTTGCTTTTTAAAGAATGCATCTCCCAAAGCTAGGTGTAGTGCACACCTTTAATCCCAGCACTCTTGGAGGCAGAGGCAGGTGGATCTCTTGAGATCAAGGCCAGAGGCCAGCCTCATCTACATAGTACCAGGTCAGCTGGGGGCTACAGGGAGACCCTATCCCAAAAAAAAAAAAGCAGCTCCTATTTATTGAACTACACCAGGGCACTTCAACAAGTGCTTTACAGATAGACCAAGTTCATGACTCATCGCCAGCTGTGAATTCAAGGCCTGCCTAAGCTACAGAGTGAAACTTTCTAAAAACAACACTTTCAGTTACTGCCTTTGAGGGGAGGAGTTGTTACATCTTTTTGGGGGGGTGTACACTTATGCATGTCAGACGGACAACTTGTTAGGAGTCTATTCTGTCCTTCCATGTGTGTTCCATAGTTAAATGAAGCCCATCAGACTTGCTAGCAAGTACCTCTACCTGCTGAGCCATCTCACCAGCTCCTGGGCTGGATATATTTAAGAAGAAAGATAGTTACTCTACTTTTTAACTATGGCAGTTGTATTGTTTTGTTTCCAGATAATTGGTGTCAGTGATGGGGATGTTTATCAATCATGATTTAAAATAATGAGCTCAGGGCCAGAGAGATGGCTCAGCAGTTAAGAGCCTTAGCTGTTCTTGCAGAGGACCCAGGTTCGGTTCACATCTCCCATGTGGCAACTAACAACTGTAACTCCAGTTCCGGGGGCTCCAATGCCCTCTTCTGACCTACAGGCACTGCATGACATGAGTGCACTTACATACAGAACACACTCATATACATAAAATAAAAAGTAATCGATATTTTAAAAATAATGAGCTAAATATTGTGATTTGCTCCTTACTAGGTCATTTAGAATAATTTCTAGGCGGATACTTCAGTCACATTTAAGCATCTTGTGGAGATTACACATCCCTGCCTCTAATCCTGTTCATTTAAGTCAAAAGTTACTGTTCCAAGCCTCTTTTTCAAAGTTTTGGGTAGTTTTGCTTGGATTTGATTCATAGCTGGTTTGGAGGAATCTTGAATGTCTGAAGTACGTTAATTCTGTTTTTCACATAATCTCGTGAAATTCTTATTGAGAACCATGTTCCAAATACAGATATCATCAGACCAGCCTTTTCTACCGTCTTGCCTATGACTTGCTGTAGAGAATGGGTAGTTTGACCTTCTTCTTAAAAATCACATAAGGGCAGGCTTTGAATGAAATTCACTGGCAACAATTGGTAAATTGGAAAAGTATTTTCCATGCTTCTATGCTGCTCTGTCCTGTATCCCTACCTCCCACCCCCAGAGATGGCACTGGAGTTCTACATAACTGTAGTCATTATAGGAGGTCATGTCATACTGCTCTGTAGTTCTCAGGAATGACATTTATGGATTTTCCTGAAAAACATGAGGTAGAAGTTAAAGACCTAAAAAAGTAACCGTACTCCACAAAAACTCACGTTTGTTTTTTGTTTAGAGTTAAACTCAGGTTCACGTTTTATTCTTACAGTATTCTGTAAACTTTGCTGAGCCAGCTCTAATATGATTCTTAGCTTGTCAGGGAGGGGAAGTGTTAGTTTTTGATTAAACTTATGTGACCAACATTTTTTTACCTGGAGGAAACCCAGACTTCAGATATAGATGTTTGGATCTCTCTTTGTTGCCCTGTTTGGGTTTGAATCAGTATCAAGTGACTAATGGTGGTTTAAATGAGTCCTTAGTAACTAGAATTCAAGGTTCCTAGGGTTACAGTATTGAGGCTCTTGGTAAATAATTCAGAGTGGTAGTTGGTAAGGGATTTTTGCTGGGAATTTCATGTGACGTATGTTACTCAAGCAGAATAGCTAAAGAAAAATTCCTTCCTGAGGAACTAAGACTTTGATTCATTTAAGGAACATTGAGAGTATAGTTTTGAGCTAAATGGCAAAAATCAAAGGTTGACAAAGCAGTGTGATCTCAACTCTAGACTCCCTTTTTAAAGCACACAAAGGGGGCCAGAGAGATGGTTCAGTACCTGCTCTTCCAGAGGACCTGATTTCTATTCCTAGCCTTCATGTTGTGGCTCACAACCACCTGTGACTCCAGCTCCATCAGACACCCTCTTCTGGCTTCTATGTGCCCCAGCACACACACATACTTAGGTGTTGGTTTCTTCTTGTGTAAGGTAATATGATTTTTCTGTTGCTGAAATCTGTCTTTGTGAGACTTCTTCATTGCAGTGATCCCTTTCATCAAATCCCTAAGAGTTCAGTGTCTGTCATACAAATAATTTTGGCGTGAAAACATTTTTAGTCCTACTGCTTGTTTTTCCCTTTCCTTTGTTTCTCTGTAGAGCACTTGCTTAGCACGTGCAAGGTCCTAGGCCCAAACACCATCACTGCTCCCAAATTGGCCAATTCACAATATTTTGTAAAATAGTCCAGGAAACATGAAGGCCAATACACTTTCCTTATATCTTATTTTCTCTTATCACTATCACAATACAACTGCAGGGGAAGGCTCCTTGACAGCTACCTTATTTGGTTTGTTTGGGTAAAAAGTGGGCCCTAAAAACAGAACCTTGTAAGCTGTGCTTCATCTTTTCGTTGGTTAGATTTTTTGGTTTGTTGGTCGGTTGATTTGAGATAGGATCTCACTGTTGTCTGACCTGGAACTCACTATGTAGACAAGGCTGGCCATAGTTGGACTCAACAGAGATCCACCTGTCTCTGCCTCCCAAGTGCTATGATTAAAGGCATGAGCTGCCATAGCAGATGTGTCATCTTATTAAATGTGTTTCTTTCCTCCTTCTAGGAAGCTTTTCAGGAGGCCCTGAACTCTGCAGGAGATAAGCTTGTGGTGGTGGACTTCTCAGCCACGTGGTGTGGACCTTGCAAGATGATCAAACCCTTCTTTCATGTGAGTATAAGAGATTTGTGCTTTGAGGCTGCTTGGTAGTCAAAAGCTAGGAGAGGGCACTGTAAATGGGTTTAGGGGTTTGTTTTTCTGAATCATTTGTCCAAGCATAATAGCATAACAGCTTCCGTAACAGTTGATTGAGGACAACTTTCAGAAATTCTGTTTGTCATAAGTACTTTGCCCTTTTTTTCCAATTTGAAATACAGGCCCAATGATTCAGACTTCAAGGTTAATATGCCAAATTATTTTACCCTTGGAAGAGTTTGATTCAGGGACAACTGTGCTCCTTCTGCTTTACCTGGTCTTTAAGCTGAATTTTTAGAACTGAGCCTGGTGAGACGGCTGAAGCAAATAAAAGCACTCACGGCTTGCCATTGAGGCCTGGTGACCTGAGTTCAGTCCCTGAAACCCAGCTGGAAGGAGAACCAGTTCCTGAAAGCTGTCTCTGACCGCCACAGGCTTGTTATGGCGCATGTGCTTACACACACACATACACACACACACAACACACATGTACGCTAATAAAATATAAACTTTAAATCAGTGTTTAGATCTGTAGTCTCATAGTTGCCTTTGAAGCAGCTTAAGTATTGATTACCATTATCCCGTGCTAAAGGTTTTTTTTTTATTTTTTTATATTTAATTTTCCAGTCCCTCTGTGAAAAGTATTCCAATGTGGTATTCCTGGAGGTAGATGTGGATGACTGCCAGGTACGTAGAAGGAAATTAGACTGCTGAGCTTCTCACACTGGCCTTCCCTCTGAATTCTTCCGTGCTTTTCTAAAATAAATGCATCAGTAATACTAGAACTGTAACTCCCAAAAAACCTATTTTGGAAAAACAGTTATGGGTTTAATCCAAATACTAGAAGCTGTATACCGTCCATTCTAAAATCAATATCAAAACAATAATGCGAGGAAGACGGAGGCTCCTGCGTCTAGTATGCCTGCATTCTGCCTACTGTTCTGAAATGCTCTGTGGACGCAAAGTTGCACTTGGCTATTAGAGTTGGTAGATCTAATGTATCACGAAATGGTGAGGCTACTTTTGAGAGTCTTTGTACCTCTTATGGCATAGGAACTGGTGTTCACAGGCTTACTGTAGTTGTGGTTGATTTTAGTTAATGAGAAAACAAAATGTTTTAGCAAATATTAGAAGGCCCTAGCACCCTAGAGAGCTGGGAGAATAATTGAGAGGAAGCACCAGACTTGTTTTTACTTAGCAAGTTCTTGTTTTACTTTTGATATGCTCCAGGTACTTTCTAAGTACTAACCTCTAGCTCTCTCTGCTGTTGGCCTCATTTTAAAGATGGGGAAACTGAAACACTGAGAGGACACCCTTGGAGGCAGCAGGGAGGTTCCTCTACCTGAGCTCTTGTCCCCACCCCCACTACCTTTCCAGTACTGCCTGTGGGTGTAGATCAGGTTCTTAGCATATGACCTTGCTTCAAACACTGGCCCCTGGGTGAGCTTGCTTGGTGGAGGAGCACTTTCATTTTCCCCATAGGGCAGGTAGAAGTGTAGATTGGGACAGCACAGACCCTGGACTAGGCTCCAGACCTGACTGCTTTAAGCTAATCTTCCATCTTCCTGAGCCCTGGTTCTCTGACTGTAATTAGATCCAAAAGTGCTAGAGAGTCACTCAAGGTGTAGGCAGTCCTTTAAACACCTAGCTCCCACCACCCCCAGATCTATTCTCAGTATGCTTTCTGGCCTGTCTTTGCTTGTGCCATCTCCTCTCCCTGGCCCATCCTTCCCAGCCTGGCTAAGCCTTAGTCATAAGCTACCCTTCTTTTTCATGTACCTTTCTCCACTAGTTCCCTTTTATGCCACTAGGTTTGTGTCTCTTCCACCGTGTTCATACAGTTGTCTTTGTTCCTCTTTCCTTCCGAACTTCTGGTGGTGAGGTAGGATTGGTCCACACTGCTCACACTGCTTCCTAGTTCTATTTTAAGAGTGGCGTTTGCTCAAGTTTCTGTGCTTTGCTTTCATCCTCTGAGATGGCAGTGGTACTCTGACATTATAAGATGGTTATCAAGATTGAGCAAGATCATAACTTTGGAGTGCCTGGCTCATAAGTACTCAGTGAACCCTGGCTGTTTGAGAGGTGGTTGAGCATCGAGCATCCAAAGTACTCTGACATCGAAACCATTTTGTGTGCTGACATCATGCATAAAACGTTTCATTCAGATTTAGGGGGTGTTTCAGGTTTCAGATTTCAGATTTAGAGGAGGAAATGGATCTATCAGTAAATTTTATGCAAATATCCCAGAATCTAAAAACTCAGGATAAGAATATAAGTTCTTGTGGGGAGGGGAAAAAAATCTTTGTTCCTTGTTTGGTTTTTTTAATTTTTATTTTATGTGTATGAGTATGTATGAGCATATATGTCATGCAGTGCCACAGAGGTCAGAAGAGGGTTTCGGATTCCCCTGGAACTGTAGTTAAGGATGGTTCGTAGCCACCATGGGTGTTGGGAATCAAACCTGGGTCCTCTGCAAGAGCAGTCAGTGCTCTTAACTGCTGAGCCATCTCTCCAGCCCATTTGTTCCTTGTTTTGATAAACTTTTTTTTTTTTTTTTAAACATACCTAGGAGAAATTTGCCCTTGGACAAGATCAATTGACCATAATTGACTGCCATATAATACAGTTTCTTTTTTACCAGGCTAAAAGTCTGTGGTGGGCCCTCTATTTCATGAACTCCCTACAGTAATTGTGAGTGGGTTTTAGTAGCCACTACAGGAGTGGAGAGGGGACTGCTAGACAGATGGTGATGGGGGCAGAGCAAAGCCCTTACCGACCTGGACTGGTGTTCCTTCTGCCTCGGTCTTGACTCTATAAGACAGGCAGAGCAGCCACGGACCTCCTATTACAGCTCCTTTGTGTCTGTTTGGAGCTCTTATCAACACCCTAAAAGTGTCTGTCAGGACTGGAAGTGACCCCATGACCAATGGGGGGACCTTTAACTTTGCTTCCATATAAGGAAAATAATTTTGGACTCACAGAAAAGTATGGATGTTGGCCCTTTTGAAATTGTACACTGATCATATTGAATTGGCGGCCAAGGTGATATGATTATGTATTTTGTAAATTAAAATGAGACAAAGCTGTTTTTCTTGGCTTCAGTTGTCAACTTGACACACCAGAAAAGGGTGCCTCAATTCAGGGAGGGCCTCCATCAGGTTTGTCTGTGGGACATTTTCTTGACTGACCCACTGTGGGTACTACCATGCCTGGGCAGGTAGACCTGGACTGTATAAAGGATGGTAACTGAGCAGACCAGGGGGTGCAAGCCAGTGAGCAGCATTCTCCTGTAACCTCTGCTTCAGGTCTAAGTTTCAGGTTCCTGCGTTGATCTCCAGCCCTGATTTCCTTGATGCTGGATTGTGACATGGGAAAGCTGAAATAAACCCTTTCCTCCCTAAGGTGGTTGTGGTCAGTGTTTTATCTCAGCAGTAGAAAGTAACTAGAACAAAAGCAACTCTGTAATCTTTTGAATACCACTTATTTCAGTTTTGACCAGAACGCTAGAAATGAGTTTATAGAAGTATCAAAGCATTCTTAAAGTACTTTGGCCCCATAGAGTACTAACCTAGAAACTAATGCAGTTCAGTTCAGAACAGGACTAGTTTATACATACTAACAAGGATCTCTAGGAAGAACAGGTAGGCAGTTGCCAGGGCTTGGGGATGGGAGTGGTGTTTAATTACAACCCAGCCGCTAAAAGAAATTTGGGGAAGGAAGAGAACTGCTTTACACCCTGTTAGTGGTACTCACGTAACCATGCATTGGTTAAAATTCAATATACTCTGTAAAAAAAAAAAAATTAAATTTTTCTCTATGTACTTTTTTGATATTTTTTTTAAGCAGGAAGTGGGAATATGACCCAGAGCAGGCAAACTTTATGTTTTTAAATGAGGGAAATGATAAAAGGAACTTAGGGTCGATGAATAGTATTTCTGGGCGTGGCCACACACATCTTTAATCCTAGCACTTGGGAGGCAGACAAATCTTTTTGAATTAGAGGCCAGCCTGGTCTACATAGTGAGTTCCAAGCCAGCCAGGGCTACATAGTAAGAAGGGGGAAGAAAGTGCGCATAAGCCAAGTGTGGCAGCTCACACCTGCCAAGCCACCCCAGGCTCTAGAGAGAGACTCAAAGTAAAACAAATAGTATGCGTAGCTTTCTGATCGCTCTAAGAATATGTATAAGTAGTCCATAGAACATTAACTGGGCATAGTAAAGATCTAAAATGATTACAGAACTATCTGGCTTTACTAAAGTCCATAAAGACTTTAATAGATGGTAACGCTGTATTCATAGAGGTTGACTCAGCGTAGTTAATGTCAATACCCCCACATTTAAATTTAACCTAGTCTCAAGCTGACGCGTTTGGGAAATTTATTGTGATGCTCTGAAACAGTATAGACACGAAAATGGCAAAGTATTTTCTAAAAGAAAATAGGGAAAGACTTTAGTAGACAGTCCATACAAATGTGTATTAGCTGCATTTAACAAGAGTAGGTAGAATAGAAAGCCAAAAAGAAAGAAAAAGACTGTTTAACCATATATTAATAATTAACCGTTAGAGTTAAGGTGTTGCCTATCTAATTTCATTCTGTATTGGTGTGTAAATCCAGAAGATAAAAAACTTGAAGGAGATACTGAACGCACAGAAAAGATAGACACTGTAAAGACTCTATCTCATGTGTCTGTCTTTCACCGTTGAGGACAAAGCTGTAGAACTGAGGCCTTTAGATGAGGTATAAAACCTGCCATAGGTGGGCAAGGCTGATGGGTTTGATGGCAAAAGATCATGATCAATGCCGATCAGCTGAAATTCTGTGGAAGGTAATTGAATAATGTGTGTTTAGGGACTGAAGCACAGGCTGTCTCAGGAGTTTTGCATCTAGGGTTGCTGGGTGGAAGGCACAGATCAAACCAGTGGGTGGAGACATTTGTACGTTACGATTGAAAGTGAATTAGGAAAAAAAAAATCAACACTTCCATAGCAAGCTGGATTGCTTAAGATATGGTTTGTTCAAGACTGAATAACTGTCTTAACACTTAAGAGCACTAGCTGCTCTTGCAGAGGACCTAGATTTGGTTCCTAACACCCACATGGTGGCTCATAACTGTCTATGACTCCAGTTCCAGGATATCTGATGCCCCCTTCTGAATTATGCAGGCACCAGGCATGTACACGGTACACATACATACATGCAGGCAAATACACATAAAATAAAAATAGAATCTTTTATAAAGTATTTTATTTTTATTTTATGTATATGAGTGCCTACATGTATATAGGCATACCTACATGCATGCAGTGCTCATAGAGGTCAGAAGAGGATGGTTATTAGCCACCATGTGGGTGCTGGGAATCAACCCGGGTCTTCTGCAAGAGCAGCCAGTATTCTTAACCACTGAGCCATCTCTCCAGCCCCCCAGATAAAGTCTTAAAAGTATGGTTCGTACAAACAGTGACTGCCGTGCATTGTGGGTATTTTGTATGGAGAAGCCCATATCTGTTGTCTATGTGCATGTATCTGTGTGTGTATGTGCACATACCTGCTGTGTGTTTTACAGTACATACAGCATGAGTATGTATTAGGTACACGAGTGATTAAAATGTAAACAGTATCTAGTAAAGAATGTGAACACTTTTTCCAATTTCTCTTTGTGTGTAGTTGTAATAATTTTAAATTAAAATTGTCTGAAACCCAGCAACTCTGTCTTATACTTTAAAATCCCAGAACGTATGCATGTATTCAGAAGGATACATACATAAATTGGAAATTATCTAAAAGTTCAAAGTTCAGTAAGGGGAATTAAATCATGAAGTAAGATACTCTGCCAAAAAAAAAAGAAATAACTTTGGAATACAGTAACATAATTAATACTTTAAATTTTTTCTATATGAAGATGAAATTACAGTTGTAAATAAGATCTATGAACACAAACACAAGAACTCATTAACACCTGTTTTTTTTTTTCTGTTTTTTTTTCTTTCTTTCCAGTTTTGTGATTTATTTATTTTGGAGACAGGGTTCTGTAGCCTAGTCTGGCCTTAAACTGTCTATGTATTGGAGTATGAACTTGAACTCTTGGTTTCCCAAGTGCTGGGATTACTTGTGTGTACCAACATGCCTGACTAAAAGTAGCTTTTTGATCAAGGAGTTGTAAGTGGATGTCTAGTCTTAGCAAAGCATGATGGTATACACTGTAATCCCAGTACTCGGGAAGTTGAGACAGGAGGATCTTGAAATTCCCAGCCAACCTGGGCAGTGTGTCAGAATCCTGTTTCAAATAAATAAAAGGGTTAGGAATGTTGCTCAGTTATAGGGTGCTTGCCTAGGGTGTGCAAATCCCTGGGTTTCATCCCGGCACCATAAATAATAATTATCCAGCTCTTAAAATCATCTGTATATACCCCTTTCCCTTTATAAAACTGGAAAAACTTAGCAAGAAACAGGAGCTGCCAGTTCTGGGGTATAGAATTTATTTTATTTTTTGTGTATGAGTGTTTGGCCTGTGTGTATGTAGGAGTACCATGTACATGCAGTGCCCACAGTAGCCAGAAGAGGGCGTAAAATTCCCTGGAGTTTATCTGGCACGTGGATGCTGGGAAGCAAACCCTGGTCTTCTGCAAAAGCAGCAAATGCTCTTAACCGCTGAGCCCATTTTCCAGCCCCAGAGTAGAATTTGCCGTTTCCTGTTCACAATACTAAACTAACCAAGAGCTTAATTGAATTAAACAGCAAAGTGAATGACTACAGAGTAGATGATCCTTGTAGCATTTGGAGTGGAAAAAGGATCTGGGTTTTAGAATTCTAGTTCACATTCTTTGTCTCCTTGATTCCCACCCAGGATGTTGCTGCAGATTGTGAAGTTAAATGCATGCCGACCTTCCAGTTTTATAAAAAGGGTGAAAAGGTATGTCTGTCTGGCTTTAGGAACACCAGCTGGGGTTGGGTGTGGTGGCATATGCCTGTAATCCAGCACTTAGGGGGCTGCGGCAGGAGGATTGCTGTAAGTTCAGATCAGCATGGGCTACAGAGTGAACCCTGTCTCAAAGAAACTAAAAAACAACCAAGCGAAAAATACTAAGTGCGCAAAGAAAATGTGTGGTGTAAACACAGAAATAATTGAAAGAATGTTCACATGAGAAGTTTGTCACCGCGCTCTAAGAGACATGGCATTGCATGTAATCTCAGCAGTTGAGGCTGAGGCACAGACACCAGGAGTTTGAGGCTCGTCTGGGTTTCATAGGAGACTATATCTCCAAAAAACAGAGAAGACTATGTGTTCATTGACCTAACTACGTAATGTGGTAGGAATATAAATAAAAATTAGTCTTTGTTAGAATAATCAATAAATCCCTATGACTGGCGCTTCATCCTTATATCAAAAAGTGTATTTTCTTAGACTTTGGCAGGTCATTTGCTAAGAGATGCTTGTGTTTGGGGGTGGGGAAATCACACTGGAGCCTTTTGGCTTTTCTCCAAGCTTTATTTTTGCTATTATTTTTAAAAAGAACGCTGCCATTCAGGGAAGTTTGTTATTTTAAGTAAGATACTGCCTCCCCAACCCCCTCAATTTTTCTGCTCTTTTTCTGATCATATCTTATGTACTAATAGTGACACGGTGCTAGATCTAACATCCAGTTCATTTCTTAACAGGTGGGTGAATTTTCTGGAGCTAACAAGGAAAAACTTGAAGCCACTATTAATGAATTTGCCTAATCATGTCCTGAAAGGCATGCCCAGCCACCAGCTGTTTAAAGCCTGTAATTTTTTTAATTTGCAACAAAGTATGAGGTATGGAGATTCTATACCCAACTGCCATCTGATTATAAATGACAATAAAATATTAATTCTACCCTTTTTAAAACTGCCTGGTGTCTGCATCGTTTTTAATATAATTGAGAAATGGCCTGATATAATCCCTTCATTATTTTTAGTGACATTTTAAGGTTAAAATGAAATACTGCTATCTTAATGTGTTTCTAGAAAAAAATTTCTTGTTATGAGCAATGCAAGTATTAAGAGCATTAAATTCTTTAGGGATTTATATGCCTATGAACAGAAAATAGTATTTTCTGTTCTAGTGGGTAAACCTACTGTGTGGGCTGTACTACTGAGCGTGTCCAATATTGATGTCTATTCCTGATGAAACTATTGATGTGAGATTCCCGTATTGATGTGAGCTGCTAATTCCACTGATGGTGAGAGTTTGGAGTTTTCTATGATGCACTGAGGGGCTCCAAACATTACTGTGGAGATTTTAATTTTTCTCTTTTTTAATGTGTATGCTGCATGTGTGTAAATGCACCTTTGTCGTACAGTGACTGAAGAGGTCAGAAGAGGGCGCCAGATCCCCTAGAACTGGAGTTACAGATGGTTGTTAGCCTCTAGGAATAGGACCTGGATCCTCTGTAAGAGCAGTCCGTGCTCTTAATCATTGAGCCTCGCTCCAGCCCCAAGATTTTTATTTTTTTAAGAGAGCCTGGTTTTAGCTGGGTATGGTAGGACATGCCTGTAATCCTAGCATGTGGGGGGTAGAGGAGGGTCAAGAGTTGAAGGTCCTCCTCAGCTCTACAGTAAGTCCAGGCCAGCCTGAAACTAAGACAAAGACCCTATCCTTAAGAACAAGAAGAAAAAAACATAGCCTGATTTTGTCAGCCACATGGAGCTTCCAAACTTCCGAGGAAAGGGTATGAAAGTGATTCAGAAACCCTTGTTTCTTATGTTTGAAATACAGAAAGTGAATGGGGACTCCTTGAAGAAAGAAGCAATTTTAGGTTTGGTACTGAAATTCATAAATGATTAGTTGCATCTCATTAATCTTTGTAACAATCGTATTCAGCATAGATGCTATAAACCCCAACCACCAGTGAGGACTCAGGCAAAGAGTGATTAAGTAATTCTAACACCACAGTGGGTCAGCTGAGGTTTGAACCAGAGAAATCAGGCCCTGGAGTACATGCCTCGAAGTAGAAACCCTTATCTGGGTTTCTTGCCTCTTCTAAACTTAGGTGATGAATTTAGATGGTCTCAAAGTGATAGGAGGAATGCCGGTTGTCAAAGCACAGTATAGGCTCGGCATATAGCTGTGAATCGGAGCTTGATCATACAGCTTACACTGTAGAGAAGGCAAGCTAGTGAATCATGAGCTGTGGTACATTCTGTAAGGCAAGAGCAGAGAGACCAGCCACTGTAGTTGAGAATAATAGGGAGACTTCCTCTGGGTCAGGTGATTGAGCAAGGTTCTGTGAGGTGACTGAGCTGAAACTTGATGGATGAAAAGGAGTCTGACATGCCAAGTGCCAGGGAGTCAGCTTTCCAGATGAGAGCACACCAGGGACAAAGGGCCTGAGGTGAAGAGGTTGGTGCAGAATGAAACCATCAAAGAAGCATGAAAGAGCTGGGTGGGTAGGGTAGCAGGACCCAGTCAGCCAAGGCCGGCTTTGTATAAATGCTGGGAAGCCATTGGAGGGTAAGGTACTGTGATATTTAAGAGGTTCATTTTGATAGCTGTGTGTGAAATGGAGATTAAAAATGAAGTGGGGTGGGGCGGTAGCAGGAGAGATGGCTCAGCAGTTAAGAGCACTGGCTGCTCTTACAGAGGACTTGGGTTCAGTTCCCAGCACCCACATGACAGCTAACGACTGTTCTTAACTCCAATTCCAGGGCATTTGGCACCCTCCTCAGGGATTGCATGACATGGTGCACTTACATCATACATGCTGGTTTTACATTCACACACATAAAAAATAAAAATGTTGATCGAACACGCCTTTAATCCCAGCACTCAGGAGGCAGAAGCAGGTGCATCTTTGTGAGATTGAGGCTTGCTTGGTCTGCATAGAGAGTTCCAGGCCAGCTGTGGCTATAGGGAAACCCTGTCTCAAAAAGGCTAAAAAAGAAAAAGAAAAAGAATAATAAATAATGAAAGGAAACAATGTGGAGGTTGGTGGTTGCAACAAAAGTGATGGGGATGGAAGCCAAATTGGAGGAAACAAATCATTCATGACTATCCTTGCCCTATAGGAAGTCACTCTTGTTGGTGAAGAAACATATCCAAGGGTGATTTTGCATCATTGTTTGGAGCAGCAAAACATGTTAAACCCTTCCTAGATAGAGAGTAAGTATTGTTAATACTGTGATAGAAAAAAAGTCACTGTAGGCCAAGTTGCAAAATAATAAGCACAGTATGAATGCAGATGTGTAGAACAAAGCATGCTAGATACCTCTATCTAAGTCTGCATGTAAACTACCGGGAAAAGGTCTCCAAGGACACTGTAGTTAATCACAGTGGTGATGGGGAGAGGAGCATAGGCTAAGATGGATGGATTACAGATTAGTTCTATCAGTAAATATTTGAATCTTTCAGGACAAAAAATACATTCCTACATGTCTAAATTTCATTTCTTGTTGCTGTGATAAAATGCCCTGACAAAAGCAACTTAAGGAGAACAGGTTAAATCAGTTCACAGTTCTGTCGGGGCAGCAGGAACTTGAGGAAGTTGGTCACAGGACATTCACAGTCAAGAGCATAATGGATTAACACGTGCATGCTTTTGCTCAGCTCCCTTTACTCTCTTAAAACAGTTCAGGATTCCCTGCCTAGGGAATGATGCCACTCACAGGGGGCAGGTCTTCCTCTCTCAGTGTAATTAAGACAGTCCCCTATAGGCATGCCCAAAGACCAACCTGATCTAGACAATCCCTCACTGAGACTTTCTACACAGATGATTCTAGATTGTGTCATATTGACAAAACTAATCATCACATGCATTCTCTATGAATTAGTATTTTTAAAGACAAATAGGAAGGAAGAAGTGTTTGTAGAATTGAAGAATTTTGCTAGAAAGCAGAGCTGAGTGACTGAGGTAAAAGGCATTTTGTATATAAGACTAGTTGGTAGGTTTGCTATTGTAATTGGAAATGATATAATATAAATACGGACTTTTAAGACAAAGAGGGTACTGTGAGAGGAATTTCTATTGTAGTTAGAATGGGAGGAAGGAAGCCTAACAGGAAATTACTATTTGATTGCTCTTATGTGGGATCTAAAAATCAAACTCAGAATCTGAGTAGGGAAGTGGTTACTACAAGAGCTGGGAATAATGGGGATTTATTAGTAAACAACAACAACAACAAAAAAAACCTTGTATTTATAAAATGCATAACTTATGGAAATCAAATCTATCCTGGGTCTGGCAAGGTGGCTCAGTGGCTAAGAGCACGACTGCTCTTACAGAGGATTCAGGTTCAATTCTAGCACCCACATAGTGGCTCCATTGCCCTCTGGTCTCCCTAGTATACACATATAGGCAAAACACTTGTACACCAAAATAACCTTTAAAAAATAAATATTTTTAAAAGAATCATCCTGGCTGGCCGTGGTCTCGCACACCTTTAATCCCAGCATTTGGGAGGCAGAGGGAGGTGGATCTCTGTGAGTTCAAGGCCAACCTGGTTCTCAAAGTGAGTTCCAGGTCAACTGGGGCTCCAGGGAGATCCTGTCTCAAAAAGACCAAAAAACAAAGTTAATTTAAAATGTATGTAGTAAGATTTGACTAGTATTTCACAAGCTTAAAACTTTCTTTATTGGGGCTTGAAAGATGGGTCAGTTCTTAACAGCACTTGCAGCTCTTTCAAAGGAGCCAGGCTCAGTTCCCAGCATCCACATGAGACTGCTAACAACCACCTGTGACTCCAGTTCCAGTGGATCTGATGCCTTGTGGCTTCTGTACTTACCTGCCCTCACATAGTGCATGTAAACTCAGGCAGGTACATACACATTAAGGAAAAAACTTTAAATCTTCCATTATTGAATCATGTCCTTCAATTTTTAAGACAATATTGAGTATTTTAAAAGACTATTTGGAAGAGGAGTTTTTTATTGAATTTTTGTGGATTTCGCACATCTTAATTATATTTAGACCTCCCTATCTGTACCACCCATAGCCCACCCACAGATTAAAGAAGATCCACTCTCCCTCACCCAGTAGTGATCAGCTGCCAATAGTTCCCCAGCTAAGGTTGGGGCCTCCTGCCCATTTCCCCAGTTCTATGCTGATTTGTCTGATTGAGTTTGCATGGGTGTTGTGCAAGCTGACACCATTGCTGTAGATGCATATGAGCAAGTTCCCAGAAGCCTGGAAAACAGTTTCCGTATCATGCACCACCCCTGACTCCTACAATCTTTCTCCCCATTGGAAGAAAAGAAGTTTGTGTGTGTTTTTGTTTGAGCCTCAGCCTCCCTACTGTTGAGATTACAGGCTTGAGCCACCATGTCCCCTGTGAGAAAAGAACCTTTTGAAAACATGCAGGCATTCTTAATTTATTTAGATTTTTTTTAATTTGTATTTTTTTAACTTATTACTTTATGTGTATGAGTGTATTGCTTGCATGTATGCAAATGCACCCATGTCATGCAATGCCCACGGAGTTCAGAAGAGGGCATCTAATTCCCCTGGAACTGGAGTAACAGCCATGTGGATGCTGGGAATCAAATGCAGGTCCTCTGCAAGAGCAGCCAGTGCTCTTAATCACGGAGCCATCTCTCCAGCCCCAATTATTATTTATTTATTTTTAAAATATTTATTTTTGTTTTATTTTGTTGAGACAGGGTCTCCCTGTAGCCCTAGCTGGGCTGGAACTCACTATGTAGACCAGACTAGCCTCAATCTCACAGAGACCCACCTACCTCTGCCTCCCGAGTGCTGGAATTAAAAGTATGCACTACCATGCCTGGCTAGATTTATTTATTTTTATTTACAAATATGTATGTGTATGTATGTTCTGGTTTGTTTCTTCATTGCTGTGACAAAATACTCTGACCACTACCAACTTGGGGAGGAAAAGGTATTTAGCTTACATATCCCA